TGTCGTAAATTTTATGGTATTTCTCAGGGTGCTGTATCTAGAGAAGTTATCACATCCAAGAGCGTTGACGTGGCGTTGAATTTGCTCACCTTTCTAGACAACTTGTTGCTTTCCATTTTTGTTGTTTTTTAAAAAATATCTTTCAGAAAATCTCTAAACTGCACAAAAGCTCTCGCTGAGTGTATGGGTCTGTACGTCAAATCGTCAACTGGCTGAGAGCGCTGAGAGGAAGGAGAGGAACAAACAAAGGAACGTCAGGTGGCCAGTGCTGCTAGACAATTATTTACCCATCGCATTGAACAAATTAAAAAATTAAAAATTAAATTCTTTGCCTTTGTTAGAATCTTGTAACTTAGCTGATTGCGCTATACAAGTATCTCGTTGGCATCAAACACAAATTTTGTTGCACTACATTCGATGTTCTTACTGTAAATATCCACGAGATGGTAGTAAGGTTGGTAGTAGTCAGCTCGATTATCTCTCTATCTCTCTCTCTCTCGCCTCTGAAGTTTTAATAACTATATTTTAAAAAGAAATAGATCAGTTCTGATAAGTTTTGTGCGCGACAGCGACGACAAATAAGCTACATATGCTGTTTTCAATTAATTTACTGCTATTCCAAGCTGAAATACTTGATAATCTGTCTTTTAACAAGTACCTTTGCCATACCCCTCCAACTCCAACGTCATATCTTGCATGCAAACCTCTCCGGCTTCCGGCTTGTCTCTTCGTCGTTTGTCCAGGGTGTTCGGTACTTCGATCGTCGCAGTCACGTCACGACACGTCACGGTCCGTTTTCTAACGGATTTACTCAATGACAATTAATTACCTATCCGAGATGGAGAATAATCAACAACGTAAGTAAATCAATGATTGACCTTTACTATCCGTTTTATTTTAACATTTTAATGTCATTGTGTCTGATGAATAGAAGCATAGAACAAGCTAGGTTATACAAGATTTTTTTAAGTCTTGCTTTTACTTTGGTGAAATAAGTTTTTGGTCTATAGAAATATGTCAATTGATAAGTATTCTAAAGTACAACCACGGCTTATTGCCGAGGGGTGCATAACTTCGAAAATCCCTGTACGCTTACTAGATCAATCCCTTTGCAATCCGTCTCCAATCCCTCCAATCCCTTCCAATCTTTCAAATCCCCCAAATCTTTCAAATCCGTAAAATCCCGAAAATTGCTAAAATCCATCAAAATGTCCTTAAATTTCAAAAAATCCTTCCTGCGACCTCCCCAAATCTCACTATGATTCTCTCAAATCCTCAACAATCTTCCCAAGATGTCACTGTCACGGTGAATGACTTTCTGTGACTTTCTGTTTAAATTTTGCCTGGTTAGCCAAAATTTAGGCAGCAAGTACTCACTGTGACACCACCATGTTCAATCGAACACTGCAAATGACTTCTTAGTGAATTTTTCTTGTAAATAATTGGCTTTCAACACAAGCCAAGTGTCCTGAACATATACCCATGAAGTAATACTTGTTTAATTAATACTTTTTACAGTAGCTGACGATCCAGGTGTTGCTATTTTGAAAACCTACATGGATGCCATGATCAAGCAGAAAGTAGAGGGAGATCTTACAGAACTACAGACAGCAATCGAAGAACAGATTAAAGATGCGTTTGAGAATGTGAAAGAATATATCAATATGAAAATCGAAACTGTCCAGAGGGAGACTGTGGCCCACATCGATTCATCTGTGAGTAAATGATAAATGTGACTTCTATTAAATCATGTCAACTCTTTCTGTAGGAATTCGTCAGTAAAATGCTTTCTTTTCAATTGCTACGCAGATGAGTACCATGTGGGAAAATGTCGAGAGAGAAATAAATCAGAATATCAAAAGTGTGCATGCTGCTCCTCCCTGCCCTCCTGTGACGGATGAGGTAATAATTCATTTCCTCAAGATAGTAGTACTGTTAAAAAGCTGGTACTCACTTTTCTATTTTTTTCTTAATCCATTTCAGAATTTTGATGTCTCGGCGGATATTTCTGTTGTCGAATCTGGTGGGGAGGAAGATGGCGAACCATTAGATTTCAAAGACATTGAGGCAAAAATTGAGGTAAGCCAATAGCTTCTACTGAAGCCTAATAAGCTTGATATCTGATCCATTCCTATCACATCAATAAGTATAGTTATAGTCAAGAGCAAACCATATGCAAAGTTAATTCTTTGTTTGTTAATATTGCAGACTAAATTTTGGGGCAAAACGTTTAATAAACAGGAGGAACCTAAAAGACAAGAGGAACCTATTTCTGACGATGACCTAGTGGTAAAGTTGTTCTTTTACTGTAATCGTAGAATATCAAATATCAAAATAACCTTACAAAAATCTTTTTCTTCCCCTGCCATTAGGAATCTCCTTCTAAGAAGCCGAAACCAGTAAGAGCAAGGAAAACACCAGTTAAGAATAAGCCTAAAAGTAGTTCGAAACAGGGAAACACTGGTCCAGGTCGGCCTAAAGGCTCCACCAACAAGACGGTCAAGAAGGATGACTTGACTGACCAATATAAGAACCTACTTGAAGAACATAAAAAACTAGCCGCAGAGTTAGAAAAACTCAAGAAGAGCAAGTAGTGCCTAATTTGCTTTAAAAATTTGTTGTTGGTGAGTCTACATTGGCAAATGATTCCACTTCCATTGCACTGTAGATGTGTCATTCAATTTTCCTGCAATGTAAGTAGTGTTGGGCGCTTGTCATGTTATTTAATTATATTTGTTCTACTATCATTCTATTCCATTGCCAAGTGTTTTTAAGTTTTTGTTTTATTTGTTCAATGGTGTTGCCTAACGTTGAGGAGCTTGTAACCTTTTACAATTGATAAGTTTTTGTATTTTGGAGCAAGTTTTATTGTTTATTAATCCAATGGTGTACTTGATGTACTTTCATGCTTTCATCTTTT